AAAAATTAGTGGATGGTTGTTTTCTGACTGGTCGGCAGACCGCCGACCGGTCGGCCCTACTGGTCGGCTACAATACGGTCGGCGGTCGGGGTCGGTGGTCGGGGTCGGGGTCGGGGTCGGTGGTCGGGGTCGGCGGTCGGGGTCGGGGTCGGCGGTCGGGGTCGGCGGTCGGCAGGGATGCAACCATGAGGAAGATGGTAAAAACGAGATAGTGGCCTACTGGGTCCTATGGGTGACACAGACCAAAAACCCTACAAAACCCTTAGCCCTACTGTCGGGCCCTGCGAGGCCCGTGTGGATCTGAGTATGCCACATTTTCCGTTTCGGCCCAGCTATTACACACAGGACTCGGACCATTAGGACTCTGGGACTGTTAAATGGGACTTGACTGAGATGTGAAATCCTTTTACCACCATAAGAGAAAGGTACCCATGCATTCGCTCGGTACAACGAAGCAGCAAATGTACCAAATCAGACCGCATGCGAATTGAAAACCAACAAACACAGCTAACACAGCCCAAATCCTAGCCGCTGTGTGTGGGTGTGCTGACTACCCCAGCCACTTCCCACCAGCCACACCCACCACCCACACCCACCAAGGAACTCTGGACACAGTCCCCCCTGGGCACAGTCCCTTCAAGGTTCCAAACACAATCCCTCCCCAGACACAATAGCCCTGGAAACAGTTCCCTCCGGACACAATCCACCCCCACACAATCCCCCCTGGACACAATTTCACACCTAGGTACAGATACCCAAACCTGCAAAAACAGAGAAGTTTCTGGCACGGGGGACATTTCACAGGATGCCTGCAATTTCTTTTCTTGATACAGCCTGCAGACCGACCTCTGCCAATCATTTGGGGATACACCAGAATAAAGTTAAATTTTATAGTGAATTGGAATAATGAAACAACTTGACTTGTTATTTTTTGGCTTTCCATTTTCTTGGAAGATAAAAAGGTAATTTTTAAGTAAAATCAGTTTTGATACGAATGAATTATAAATATTTTCTTGTTAACTTGTTAAGTATAAATAAACCATTTATTTTAATGAAACTACTCTAAGAGTCTAAATTGATTAAATGATATTTTAAAAAATGATTATATAAAGAAATACAAAGAAGACGATTCATGACTCATAATCATACTTGCGTTTTCAGTTGCGCGGCCCCGCACACAGCGCAAGATGCGGCGCACCTGGAAACTTAGGGGTTGGGGGGAAAAAAAAAAAAGGGGGGGGGGGGGGGGGGGGCAGGGGGGCATACCCGAGTGGGATGTCGCGTCAAGAAACACACAAAAAATATATATATATATTTGAGGCCGCATGGGCCCTCCGAAAAAGAAAAGGGGCCGTGCATAATTCCATGTTCTAGCGGTAGATGCATTCGATTTTGCTCATCCTATCGATAAAGTACCATGAGGCCAGCCGTGATATTGAAGACATACCTGCTCTCTCTCTCTCTCTCTCTCTCTCTCTCTCTCTCTCTCTCTCTC